TCCTGGAAGGCTTACTCTCAGCGACCGGAGTAAAAGGAAAACCCAGGTTTCATCGACCAAGCCGAACCCCCTCAAAATATATTCAGAAGATAACCCTAACTTTCTCTTATTTTAAAGGTAAATGTAAGGTGTTGTGTTCCAGATGCAATTTGACTGGTTAAACTAAGCAAAACACGCTTTGTTCAGCCGCTGTAGTTAAAATGCAACAAAACAGAAAAGGAATTGGAAATAACTCAAATCTATTGGAAAACTTAACAGAATAATAGATTACTCAACTACTAAACAGTAACTGTTCCAATACAGTAACATCCCATAAACACAGCCTTGACAAATACAAACTCAGAAAAACAGGTTGTCCCACGTGCAACTCCCAGAGCAGGAGGAGAACCCCCACTTTTTAGCTGTAACCGAGAAAGAGAAAAACACCGATTCCATATCTTCGAGACCCGAACGGCAACTGCTACTGAAAAAGTAAAAATCCTGGCTTGTTGGGAGTTTGCGCCATGCAGCCAGGCTGCTTCTATTGTTCCTAAGTTAGGCGCAAAAAAACCCCCCAAGACCTCACAAAGCTGTTTACTTTCTTGATCTTCAGTAGCGAGCTGGTTAAGTCCGCCTTAAAATGTCTCTTCAAAAAAGAAAACAGGACCAAAAGCCACAGTATTGTCATATTTCCCCTCTCTCTATCTAGAGCCATTCATAATCTGCTTTCCTGTACATCCTGCCAAACTTGATAACGTCATATTGACCCACATGAGTACATCTGCATTTGCCCAGTCACTCGGCCTGTGCTGAGAGGGAAAGGGTGAAAGTGTTAGAGCGGAAAGAGAGACGGGTTTTGACAGAGAAAGAGAGTGAGTGAGAGGGCAAAAGGGAGGGTGTGTAGGGAGAGAGAGAGGGGGAGGGATACTGAGCGAGAGAGAAACAGGGTCAGAGAGAAGGCAAGATCGGGGACAGAAAAGAGAGAGAACCTGAGACAGAGAAAGAGAAACAAGGAGACACAGTTAGAGACGAAGACAGAGGAAGAGATAGAGAGAGATGGTGGCGGTGGGAGAGAGAGAGAGAGACGGCACCAGAAGGACCGAGAAAGAGAAACGGGGGAGAGACAGAGAGAACCTGTGACAAGGGAAGACAGTAAGAGATGAGGCCACGCAGAGAGATGGGAGACGCGGAAAGAGAGAGAGAGAGAGATGGGGTCAAATGGAGACAAAACCCAAGATGGGGAACAGACAGAGAGAACCTGGGACAGCAAGAGAGAGGAGCAAGGAGACACCGTAAGACAGATGAGGCCAGAGAGTGGGAGCGGGTGTAAGAGACGGAGGGTATGTGTCGGCTGGGCTGGGGACTGGGAGGGGAGAGTGGTGGTGAGCGTGGGGGGATGAGAGAGTCGAGCGGCACACAGCTGAGGAGGTGCAGAGGGAAGGCAGGTGGAGTGAGACACAAATGTGTCGAGGCAGTGCGGCTAAGGAAGCTTTGGGATGGATGGCAGTATGCAGTTGTGGGTGGGGTGAGGGGTGAGTTGGGTAGGAGACAGAGACTTTGACAGACCTGAAGAAGCGTGACTGACTGTCCTGTGGATTTCACAGGCTTCATGAAATCAGTCGGGATTACGAGCGGGAATTCCCCGAGGTGCAGGTTGGACCGAGAGTTACAAGGAGGAGGAGTCACAGCATGGAGAACGTTGATCTGGATAATGAGGTGATTCTCCTCTACACTTCAAAACGGAAATTACAGTTCCCTCTACACCACCCCCCTCCATCAAACATTCCCAGGGACAGGAAAAGCACGGGGTTAGATACAGAGTAAAGCTCCCTCTACACCAATCCCTTCCATCAAACACTCCCAGGGACAGGGACAGCCCTGGGTTAGATACAGAGTAAAGCTCCCTCTACACCAATCCCTTCCATCAAACACTCCCAGGGACAGCACGGGGTTAGATACAGAGTAAAGCTCCCTCTATACTGACGCCCCATCAAACACTCCCAGGGACAGGGAAATGGGGGCAGCTGGGAGACTGTGTCCTTCTTTCTGAGTGGTCACTGACGGTCTCCCTCTGTGTTCACAGTGAGAGTTCATGTTTCTATGACCTCTCTGATGGCCCATCTCTGAGTTGAACAAGGCTCGCTGATAGAGACAGAGTACGCCCCTTTTAAAAGGAAGCCCTGATGAAGCGACTCGAGAGGGCGAGTGTTGGATGTGTGGTTTGTCACTCTGAGTTCTCTGCTGGGAATTCAGTTTGTCAGTCTCTGTCTGCGCACTGTTAAGCTGTGGAAGTGTGAGTTCAGTGAAGGTTGTTGCTCGGCTTTTTCATCAGGAGATGGACAGCGATGAGGAGTGGCAGCAGCTCATTGAGGTGACCGACCCTTCAGCACTTCAGCTGAGCACTCCCCTGACCCTTTTGAGGGACCAGAGCTTCCAGGAGCGTGTGCAGGCCAGGCTTGGAGATTCCAGCACCCAGGTACCTCACAATCCTGATATTTTCCCACTCGCTCTCCTCCCCATACCCCTACAAGCGCACACAAGCACGCTCACTCACTCACTCTCGTCTCTCATTCACTCACTCACTTTTTCGCAATCGCATATGCACGTACTCTGTCACACAGACAAAATTTTTAGGCGCGCTGGCTCATATTCACACTATCTCTCACTCTCTCTTTCACATACACACAGCCCCTGACGTTCAATCTTGCACAAACTCTCTCATGTACACAGCGGTCCGAGTGAGGTGTAACCGGACCGGAACCCTACCCGGCGCTCCAAGTGCGGTGTAACAGGGCCGGAACCATACACGGCGCTCCAAGTACGGTGTAACGGGGCCGGAACTGTACGTGGTGCTTCCTTTCCTCATGGCCTCTGAATTATTGTACATGCAGGTGCTGGAGGGAATGCTGGAAGGTGCCTCCCGATTACGACCGGTTCTGAGAGTGATCGGGAACCTGCTGGCTACTCGCTGTGACTGGGATCTCCTGCATGCCTTCTGCCAGCATCTGCAGCTCCCTCAGTTCCTGCTGACCGTCCTCGGACAGATGCTGCACAGTGAAATGATCAGGCAGGTCAGGCACAGACACATCCTTGCCATCTCACCTCTTCCACCAGCCTGGCTCTGTCCAGCTCTTTCTCTAATCCTTCGCTGTCCCCTACCTGGCCAGCTGCTTTTTCCACTTCTGACACCGTTCTTTCACTGTGTCTCCCTCCCTCCACTCCCTCCCCTCACTGTCTCTCTCCCCATCTCTGCCGTCTCATACAAACATAGGAAATAGGTGCAGGAGTAGGCTCGCACTGCCATTCAATCTGATTACACAGTTTCAGTATCCCATTCCCGCGTTCTGTCCACACCCCTTGATCCCTTTAGCTGCAAGAGCCAAGTCCAGCTCCCTCTGTTTTATTGGGAATGAGCTGACCCCAACAGCTTCCTGTGGGAGAGAAGTCCACAGCTCTCTGAGCGAGGAACTTCTCCCTCACCTCAGTTCCGAATGGCTTCCCCCTTATTCTTACACTGTGACCCCCAGTTCTGCACTTCGCCAGCATCGGGGACATTTTTCCTGCATCTAGCCTGGCCAGTCCCAACAGGATTTTATATGTTTCTATGAGATTCCCTGCCTCATTCTGCTAAATTCCAGTGTGTACAAGGCCTGTCGATCCAATCTTTCCTCATGTCAGAGATAGTAGGAACTGCAGATGCTGGAGAATCCAAGACAACAAGGTGCAGAGCTGGATGAACACAGCAGGCCAAGCAGCATCATAGGAGCAAAAAGGCTGACGTTTCGGGCCTAGACCCTGTATCAGAAATGGGGGAGGGGAAGGGGGTTCTGAAATAAATAGGGAGAGAGGGGGAGGGTGATAGAAGATAGATAGAGGAGAAGGTAGGTGGAGAGGAAACAGACAGGTCGAAGAGGAGGGGATGGAGCCGGTAAAGGTGAGTGTAGGTGGGGAGTTAGGGAGGGGATAGGTC